TAGGTTGGTCTTGAACTTGTGAGATCAAGCAATCCACCTGCCTCAGCCTCCTAGAGCACTGGGATTATAGGAGTGAGCCACTGCGCCCGGCCTCTCAGATCCACTTAGTAGAATCAGGTGGCCACTGACAAACAGCCCAATAGAAAGCAAACTAGTTTCCCCTGTCCAAGAGAAATGAAGCCTGTCAACCATAGTAGGAAGCAGGCTTAAACATAAAGAACAATTTTTTTTTTTGAGACAGAGTCCCGCTATGTTGCCCTTAGTAGAGCACTATGGCATCACAGCTCACAGCAACCTCAAACTCTTGGGCTTAAGCCAGGGATTCTCAACTTTCCCAATGCTGCGATGTATTTTCATTGTTACAAAGGGGTCGCAACCCACAGGTTGAGAATCCCTGGCTTAAGCGCTTCTCTTGCCTCAGCCTCCCAAGTAGCTGGGACTATGGGCACCCGCCACAAAAACGCCTGGCTATTTTTTTTGTTGCAGCTGTCATTGTTGATTTTAGCTGGCCTGGGGTGAGTTCAAACCCGCCAGCCTCCGTGTATGTGCCCAGGGTTCTACCCACTGAGCTATGGGCGCTGCCCCTGGCTATCTTTTTGTTGTAGTTGTCATTGTTGTTTAGCAGGCCTGGCCAGATTCAAACCCGCCAGCCCCAGCGTATGTGACGAGCACCCTAGGCACCGAGCCAAAAAAAAAATTTTTTTTTTGAGACAGAGCCTCAAGCTGTCGCCCTGGGTTGAGTGCGGTGACAGCTCACAGTAACCTCCAACTCCTGGGCTTAAGCGATTCACTTGCCTCAGCCTCCCAAGTAGCCGGGACCACAGGCACCCACCACAACACCTGGCTATTTTTTGATTGCAATTGTCATTGTTGTTTGGCAGGTCCAGGCTGGATTCGAACCTGCCAGCTCTAGTGTATATGGCTGGCGCCTTAGCCACTTGAGCCACAATCGCTGAGCCAAAAAAAAAAAACGATTTTTTTAAAAGACCTAAAAAGTTCTCAGAGTTGGGAATGTGGAAGAGGGAAAATCAACATGGCTTTAAGGGTATGGAGGACTGTGTGGGATTAAAATTGTTGTTTTACCAACCCTTAACTTCACACGCAAATCCTAATGCACATTGAGCTACTTAACAATACAGCTACCCAAAGTTATCTTAATTATAATAATCAACCAATCACACCCAGAAAAGTGGGGATTGCCGCAATTAATACACACCCACACACCCACAGAGACAACGGCCTCTCTTGTCCTCCACTGGGAAAGTCTACCCTTGCCTACCATATGCTCACAGCACATTCACGGCCATGCAGCAACCCCAGCACATGTCTGTGTGGGGCACTATGGGCTGCCCCAAATCTCCACAAACACAGGAACATAGACACCAAAGTCTCCTATGGGGCCAATTCAGCTTTATGTTCTCGATTCCCCTCTCCCAGTTCTGTCTGTGCGGCCTTGATCAGTCTCTAGACCCGCTGGCTTCCCTCTCCATTCCTACACAGGGCGGAGAGCAGACCTGAGTCGTTGATCTACACCAGGGGATAGTTCTTGGGTAGGTGGGAAAGGAAGGATCTGGGAAGGAGTGAGTCAGCCCAAGGCTAAGGGCTGCAGGACTGTGGGTGGGGCTGGTGTGGAAGGATTTTTCAAAGAGGAAGAAAGCCGTGGGTGATGTGGTAGTGACTATGAGGCCACAGAACTCCATGGAGGGACAGGCCAGCCCAAGCCCACAAAAGCAGGAGAGCAGAAAGGAAATTGTTCTCTGAGCCCAAAAGCCTATCATGAAAGAAAATGGCCACCTACTTCCCAGATCGCTAGAATCCAAGCTGAGAAGATACAAGGGCAATTCAGGACTAATGGAACTGAACTGGAGGCAGTGTATCCTCTGTCCCCTCTAACCAGGCCTAGGGCCCCTGAGGCCTGATCTACAGAGGGTATCATAGGAAATGGTGAGGAAACACAGCTCCCTTCCAACAGGGACACTAAGCCCAAAGTAGCCACTTAGGATGGATCAAGAAGTGTGAGGACTACCAGGCTCAGTGGCTCACGCTTGTAATCGTAGCACTCTGGGAGGCCAACTTGGGTGCCTGAGCTCACAGGTTCCAGACCAACCTGAGCAAGAGCAAGACACCATCTCTAAAAATAGCCTGGCAGTATGGCGGGTGTCTGTAGTCCCAGCTACTCTGGAGGCTGAGGCAAGAGAATCACTTGAGCCCAAGAATTTGAGGTTGCTATGAGCTATGATGCCAATAGCACTCTACCCAGGCGACAAACTGAGACTCTCTCAAAAAAAAAAAAAAAAAGTTTAAGGATTATAAAACACACACACACACACACACTTATGAAACAATCAAGGAAACTTGGTGATTCTGAGGAATATTTTTACAAGTTTGCTATTGGTATTGTGTTTATTTTTATTTTGCAGGTGATAGAGTCTCCCACTGTCATATAGCCAGAGTGTAGCGGCATCATCATAGCTCACGGCAACCTCAAACTCCTAGGCTCAAGTGATTCTACGCCTCAGCCTCCCAAGTAGCTGAAACTATAGATACAAGCTGCTATACCTAGCTAATTTATCTATTTTTAATAGAGACAGGGTCTCACTCTTGCTCAGGATGGTCTTGAACTTCTGATCTCAAGTGATTCCCCCTGCCCAGACTCCCACAGATTATAGGCATGAGCCACTGTGCCCAGCCCATGCTTATTTTTTTAAAGGCCATTTTTAGAAGTTCATAGAGAAATATTTAAGGACAAAACAATGTTTAGAATTTAGTAATTATTGCATTATTAGTGTAGCTGCAGGAGAGGGGGAAATGAGCATAAAGAGTAACCAAGATTGGATCTGAATTAACAACTATAAACTGGGTGACAGACATCCACCGCATGCAAATTCCACTATGTAGAATATAGTGGAATTTTTCATAATAAGAAACGTAAGTGTATGGATCTAAGAGAGACTACAAAATTCGTCAAGTGAGAATTATTCAGCAGAAATGTGAAGGGCAAGGAGGCCATGGGAGTAGCGACGGCGACACATACTTGGAGAGTCATACCCTGAAGTGCTTCCCTAAACAGCCTACGGGTTGGTGGGCAGCCTGCCTAGCACTGGCTACTCCCAGAAGTTCTGGCAGGTGCTCGTCCACCCATCCCTCAATACTGCAGGGGCAGAAGGCCAGCAGCAGCTTTCAGGGAGACCCTGGCCAGGCCCCAGGGTGGGAAGGCCTCCTGACCACATGCTGAACAGAGAGAGTTAGGAGGCCCCACTTTGGGTCCGCTGTGTGATGGAGCACAAGCCACTAGACATCCCTGTACCTTGCTTGTAAGATGGGGAGACTGCTTGGCCTACCTAACGAACAGTTTAATAATGGAAGTGAAAGCACTCTGAATGCATCAGGGCCTTCAGAGAGTGTGGGTGGCTGTTTTTACTGGTGGCCATGGGGGGCCAGAGAAAGAAACCCAGGCAGTTACCATCTGGGCTCTGTGCCCACTCTACCAGTAATGAGTTTGTGCTGTGTGACCTCAGAAGAGTCTCTAGCTGTCTCTGGGTCTGTTTCCCTCTCTGTGCAGTGAGAATGTTGGACAGGATCTTCTGGGTTCTTTCCAATTCATACATTCTGGGTCTACAAGCCTAGGCTATGATTGGGTGCATCCAGAGGGAGAACAGGGTTGGGGGCAGCAGAGAGAAATTATCAGAATAATTAGGAGATGAAGACCAAGCCATAAAAGAACATGCCAGCTTTCCTAGGCTTATCCCAGGGAAAGAACAGCTCAGCAACTTGACGCCTGTTGTGGCTGGTGGACAGGTCCCTCAATCCTAGGCTATCCCACAGAAATTGTCTGAAGGGAAGAATGGTCCAGCAATGCTCAGACTGAATGCCAATCCCCAGAGCTCAGCATTGCCTTCCCCAAGTCCCACCTCCGCCCAAAGCCCCACAGTTCACATTAACTCTCAAACACTTCCGTGACCTCAGATCCACCATCCCAGGTCCACCCATGACACAGCCCCTTCCACACAGGTCCTAACTGGTCCCCCGTTCACTCTCACACCCCAAACACAGGCCGGGCCCACTCAGGGTCTTACTAAGCAAATACCAAACAAATCTCAAGTTTCTCTTTCTTCCTTCAGAGAGGAGGCTCTATCCGGAAGCAGCACCCTCAACTCCACCCCTGGTGCACTGGGACACCCTGAGCCATGGAGCCTTGGAGACATGAATCACCCCTTCCCAACTTCTCCCAGGCTGGACTGGCAAATACTTGGACAGAGATGTGGGGGAGTTCTCAGGGGACCAGTCTCAAAGGGGGCACTGTGGTGCTGGCCACCAGCTCAGACCTCTAGGTGAGCTTCCCTTGCTCAGGCCTGAGGGCATTTGTGCCTGGAGGGATCTGTAACCCCCACAAGCTTTACTGACACCTTTCCCCCAGCACACACACACCAGACATATGATCTCAAAGACAGACCGGAAAGGAAACTTGGCGACTCCTTCTCCATGTCACCAAATCTCAATCTACCCCCCCTCCAACACACACACCAAAGCTGGCCTGAGCACAGCAGTCGCAAAGGAGCAGGGCAGGGGGTCACAGGGACCCTAAGAGATCAGAGGCAGGGTTATTGTCCTCCACACTGCAAGAGGACAGTTTCCTACACATGTCTGTCACACATAGAACACATGCTCCTGGATAGCCACTGGGACCCCTCTCAGGCAGACAGTGAGGCAGAACTGCACACCAATTTTGGGGGCAGCCATAGGCGCCCTTCCCCTCAGCCAAGGTGACTGACTTTTCATTGAGCCCACACTCATCTGTGTCCCTTTTAAGTTCTCTGGTTTCTGGTATAATGCCCTGGCCATAAATAACCCTCCAGAGCTTTCTCTGCCCTCAGTGCCCACTCCCCGGCCTCCTAAAGCTTAAGCCAATACCGTTTAGCAAATACCAATATTTAGCAAGAACAAAAAAATCCTTGTGAGAGCACCAAGGCTCCTCACCCGACCGCATGCGCCTCACTCACCGGCCCTGCTTGGTGATGATCATCTCCGTCTGGTGCTGATTAAACTTGGACCACAACAGGTGGTTGTTGAGAGCGACTCTCAGCTTCCCGGACACCTCCAGCCCCGCCGGAAGCACATAGTCCTCTCGCGGCCCTGAGTAGAGCCCGGCGCGCGGGTCCGGAGCCGTGTAGCCATCCCCAGGCTGGTAGCCCTCGGCGCCCGCCTGCGGCGGGAAGGGCTCGCCCGCCCCGGGGAAGCCGGCCGCCTGAGGCCGGGGCGGGTACGCGTAGGCTCCGAGGAAACGACCCGGCGGAGCCGGTACTAGGGCGCCCCCAGCGTAGGATGCCCCCAGGCTGCCGCCCCCGCGACGGTCGGCCGCCTCCTGCGCTCCCGGTTCTGGATAAAAGTAGCGGTGTTGCGGGTCGGCTCCAGGCGCACGGCCCTCGTCGTTCGCCGGCATCGGCTCGGTGCCCGTTAGCATGTCTCCGCAGCTGGGCTCCACGATGCCCATCCGGGGATGGCTGACACTTTTCCGCAGCCGTCGAGGACCGGCCTCTCTCGGTGCTGGGGCAGGCGAGATGGTCGCGTGGGCTGGGACGAGGGTGCGGGGCGGGATAGGATCACCACTGGAGCCGCGTTTGACCGGTGCGCTGGCAGCTCCCGGGCTCCCTCCCTAGCGGGCCGCTGTCACTAGCGTCGCGGCGCTTTGCTGTGGCTTTATGAAGCGCTCGGTGTCCCCCAACCCCGCCACCTCAGCCCCGCCCCGCCTCACCCCGCCCCCTCGCGGCTAATACTAAGCAAATTCTACGCTGTTGATGAGGACTGGAGGGCCCACCACGGTGAAGACTAGAGGGTCCCCCAGAGCGCACGCACGCCCTGTGGTTCAGACTTAGAGATCTTGCCATTTGGAAGCATCAACCCTGCCACCTGAATTTCTTTGCCCTGGACCCTCGGGGAAATTCCACCCATCCTCGAAGTCTCAGCTCAAAGCCCCTCTCCTATGGGAAGCTTTCGAGGATGGCTGAAATGGGACTTGTACTCTCCAAGACACTTCCACCATGAACATTGAACAGATCTTTATTATGGGCATTGTGTGCCCAGGCTCTGTAATAAGCGGCTTCGTGTGAAGTGTTTGCCCTCTTTCTCCCGGCCAGAAGTCCACATGGGCTGTGTCCATTGCATCTTGTATTTCCAGCTTTGGGGGCAGACCTGGAAGCAGGGAAGGGGGCCAGCAGGAATAGTTCGTTAATGGGGCTTGCATCAGAGCAGACAAGGCTTTGCAGGGCCCTGACTGGCCTGGGCGGAGGCCTTCAAAATCTCCCCCACCTGCATGGCAGCCATGAGCGCTGCAGTTAGCGTTGGGCCACGAGCGTGAAAAGTCCCAGGTCTGGCTCTGCCTGTCACTCAGGTATATGTGACCTGGGCAAGTCAGTTCCCTCGCCTGAAAGTCAGCCTCACGTGCCTTCTCCGTAGACTGGGGGAAATAAACAGATCTACTTTTCAGGGAGGACTGTGAGCCCTCCATGAGACCGTAGTGTGTGGCCCTTTCCAGTCTATTATTATACCTGGAAGGAAAGGCTGCTTCGCGCAGATTCTGAGCCGGCTGACAGGAAGGAAACCCACCGCATGCTCTGAAGGGCCGCTTTGGGGATGGGACTACAGAGGCTTCTCTTTCTCCATTTTCCTTTTATGTTACCTAATGTCGTTAGCTTCCTACTACAATGCAAACTTTCCCCTTTCCCCCCAATTGAAAAGAGCATCATTGAGAGTTTTCCTGTGTATAAAGATGAAACCTGCTTATATAGGAAATTTAAGCAGTGCAGAAAAGTAAAAACAAAACGGTATAAATCACCCCCAAAGAACAGAATTAACATTTGGGTGAACACCCTCCCAGACGCCACTCCTTGGGCACTGTCTCTCTCTGTCTCTGTCTTCTGCACACACACACAAGTATATAATTTGTATAAACACCACACATGCTGCTTTGTAATGCTATTTTTTTTTCACTCCACAAGGTGTCATGGAATTTTTTGCATGTCAATATGTAGGTAAAGATTTGCATTTTTAAGAGTGTTTTGAAAAATACCTTAACATTTTCTTCATGTTTAAAGTTTACCAGTCGTCTTCCCACCCCCACCCCCCATCCCAGCCCTCCCCAGTTCTCCCCTGGGGACTGGCCTCTACATTTCTGTCCCAGCCCAACAGGGCTTCACCCTTAGGGGCCCATGGGGACTCTCTGCTCCCAACTAGAGCTGAACCAAGAGGCAGGTTGGCAGGCGAAGGCAAAGCTGGGACCCCAGGAGGCGGGCATGACCCAGGGATGGTGGCGGTAGATAGAATCAGCGCATCCCCTGAGGATGGAGACAAGATATGTGACAGTACCAGAAACCCAGGACTGGTCTCTTCTCCCCTTATCTACCATTTCCCCATGCCTTGAGGAAGGAGGAAGTTTCTGCCTCATATTCAAAGTGGGGCAGCATTGATTGAAAGAGTGGGTGACTTTAGGACCACTGGCTACTTTTTGAGAAACATGAGAATTTTCAGTAAGACGCTCCTGAATGACTGGTTTCCCCAGGAGACATAAGACTGTTGAATGCTGACACCTCTTTGGGGAACATTTTTGCTGAGCGCTCAGCTGTAGAAGGCCAAATGGAATCTTGTTTCTACCCCTCTCCCCCTCTCCTTTTTCTCAAACTAATACTCATGTCAAGTGATCCAACTCTCTACTTCTGAACAGGATGGTCTAAGTTTCCGCCAGCTTTCCAGGGCAGATAGGATTAAGAATCTCAGAATCGGGTGGGCCTGGAGACATGCCTTTGGAAAAGAGGGGGGCTGGGGGCAATCTCTGAATACCTGATGGACTGTTATAGGGTCTTACAGCCCTGCTGTCAACCTCAGATTCCTCTCTCCCTCCCTCCAATTTCTTCCACCCAAAAAAGAAAGTGCTTGTGAAAAGCGGGGGCTGAATGGCCCTGGTGTCACCACTGCCAGTCCCGCCCCTCTGCCAGCTTGGGTGAGAAGAACCCTGACAGTGACACCTTCTCTTCCAGCTGCCACCTCACTCCCCTCCCAGGCTCCAAGGCTTGAGAGGTGGGAAAAGAGGAGCATGAAGACCAGACCCCCTGGGATCCCCTCACTTGCCCGAGGCTGCCCTTCCTGGCCCCTCTCCCAGCCCATCAATATGCAGAGCACCCATAAGCCCTGGTGAGGCAGGAATGAAGGAACACAGGGCCCACCCTGTGTCCAGGATGGGAGAGACATGGTCTCCAACCAACATCAAATTTTATGAGGCAGGTCGGGTGGTAATGGAAAATAGAGTAAGTTACCAAACTCACACACTGGGCTCCTGGCCATTGCTTTTTCCACTAGAGTGAGGGAGAATCATAATAATGAATGAAAAGTCATATGATCACATTAAAAAGGTTTGGAAAATAGAAAACAAAATCACCCCTAACTGTCCAGCTTAGACACTGGTTCTCTCCACTCTGTTGTCCTCTGCCAGTATACAAGGTTCCCTTTCAAATCATTTCAAGACTCAAAACGAAAGAGGCTCCCCAGAGGTCACACAGCACCTGTTATACCCCTGAACTGTAAACTGTGCCAAGAAACTGCTGCAATGTGAATTTCTGGGACTTAGCTCTAGGGATTCTGATTCTTAGGCCTGTGATGGGTCTCAAGAATGTGCGTCTAAGGACTCCAGGTGATCCTTGGACTTTAGGCAGTCCATACATCCCACTCTCAGTCCCCTTCCCACTTTACTCTCCCACCTCCAAGTCTGTCCTATCCTGAGAGTCAGTGTGCTGAATGTGTGTGCCGAGTGGCATGGGAGAGGTTTAATGCCCGAGGATGGCAGGTGCAGGCATTGAGATGTCCTCATCGAAGCTCTAAGACCAGATGATTTCTCACCCCAGAATCTAGCTTCTCCTGAAGATGCGTGGAGTGCTGGGCCCCACCCCCACCCCCATTTCCCCACCAAGAACCCAGACAGGTTTGGTGAGGGCTGAGGAAGCAGGTACATGGGGGAACAGGGTCAGGCGGCTATTAGTAGAAACTCAGAGTACAGTGTGGCACCAGGACTGGGGTTTCTGCTCCCTACCTGCTTAGAGGCTGTGAGAGGCTGGACAGTGAAAGAGAGGAGGGCATAGAGGTGGAGAAGACGTATGGAAGGAACGAGAGAGCAAAATGAGAGGCTTAGGATATATTGCTGAACAGGAGATTTGGAGCTGGAGAGGGTCAGGGGACTCAGACATGACTCAGTGAGAAAGTCAGAGGAAATAGGGTGGTGGGACTTAGTAGTTGGGTTGAAACCTCAATTCCAACCCTCACTGGCTGTGTGACTTATTCCAGTATCTTAACTTCTCTGGTTTCTTTGTCAGTACATGGAGCTCCCAGACCTTCTGCTAGGACTAACCAGATCTGCAGTGTAAAGACGGAAGGGAACACAGGCTCCAGCTGTTCTAAACTCCCTTTTTCCTCTACTCCCAGCTACCTACATCTGCCCTTTCCCCCTTCTGGCTTAGTAGTTCAACCACAAAGTGGCCTTCAAATCCTTCCCCAACCTCCACAAAAGGCCTGGGGCCAAGAGAGAGGCCCTGTTTGTAAGACTCCCCGTCTCAGAGAAGGACAGGCTTCCCCTCTTGACACCCAGACTTATTTCTCAGAGACTCAAGATCCCTAGGAGACCTAGGGACTGAGGTCTGTGATAAGCCAGACCCTGGGGACTCCAGGATCACAAAGATAAATTAGGGTCAGTCCCTGGCACCAAAGAGCTCCCAGCAAGTGACTGAGGGACTAGAGTTCTCAAGCTCTTCCAGCCCACTTGTGCTCAGGATGTGAACTCACAACACCCCAGTCTGTGCATACACACCATCCCTCACATATGTGCACACACAAAAAACACAGAGCTATGCTAGAAGAGATCCCCGTGACCCAGTCCCTACAGCCCCAGCCCCTGCTCTTGTCCCATATCCAACCTGCCAGAGCTCCTTAGGCATCTGACTCTGCCCACCCTCACCCTCCCAGATCACCGCTCCCCCCACTGCCAGTCCCTCAGAGAGCATGGCCGGAACTATCAGATTAACAGCCAGGGAGGGGAGAGGGGAGGGACAAGCACCTGTAGAACTGCCCCCCCCCCACTCCCCATGACAGCTGCAGGAGTTCTGAGTCCCTCTGCCCAGCACCAGGTGGTCAGTGTGAACACAGAATGGAGGGCTTACCCCAAGGTCAAAGGCTCCAGGCTCTCATCCTCAGGCTGGGTCACCATTCCCCACACTGTATACACTTTGGGACTAAACAGCCCTTATCCTTGGGCTCCGGCCAAAGCTGGGTCCTTCTGCCTTTCAGTACACCTCCGTGGGCATCCTATCTCCAATTATCTATCCTCTCTGGATCTCTAGCCACTCTCACCCCCCACTCCCGGCTCTTCACACAAGACTCACACTTCCCTCGCCCCCACACATGCGTGGCACCCCACCCCACTGTGCCCTCAGACTTGAGTTCTGTGCTGTCCTGAAGGGACATTAAGATGTTGGGCACTTGAGCAACTCCGTAA